GAAAAGAACATCGTTTGATATCTGATAAACATCTGATAAAAATGTACGCTAAAATAATATATAGAAATTGTATTTAAGAAATTGTATTTAAGTTATTATTGATTTGAATCTTTATATAATTATATACCCCTGAAGATAGTTCTTTTAGGAACTGAAACATGTCGTGAAAAATGATGGTCTAATGTAAAATCGAATATTTTGATAAAAAAACATCATTTAATATTTTAAATATTTTAAATGTTAATTATTGTAATATTTTAATATTTAATAAGAGTTTATTGTGATTAGACGGACAAGATTTAATTTAATATATATCTTATACTTGTTCCCAGGTACAAATTGGCTTGTTCAGCATTTTACGGAGTTTTATCCGAGTATTTTCTGAAGCAGATGGAGACGAGAGGCAAGGGAGTCACCGTAAGGTAAAACAACATTATTTTCTTGTATTATAAATAGATGCATTGTGGTAATTATTCCTCTTATCAGACAGAGAATGTCGGATTTTGAAGGTTTATTCAACTTTTTTCCTGAAGATTGCAGCTGTAGTGTCTGTGGAAACGATGGAGAAAGTATTCAGAATTTGAAGCAGCTTATCCCCGTAGGACACCCAAGTTACGTTCTTGCACTAATCTTCTAAGTTTAAAGTTAAATGTTCGAATATTTCGATAAAGAACATCATTTAATATTTTAAATATTTTAAATGTTAATTATTGTAATATTTTAATATTTAATAAGAATTTATTGTGATTAGACGGACAAGATTTAAACAATATATTTAAATGTATAGTTTTGTATGGGCTCATTTTACTGTTTTAATCGTTACGTTCTTGGGACACTGGAAGACAAAACTTTCCAAAGTGAATGGTAGAAAGTATTCTCCGAAATTAATCTGCTCTTAATTTATTTCTTCATTCCGTTATCTGTTTGTTGGTTCTTGGTTTTATTCAGTTCCTTAATTCTCTGTCAAACATCCCCTCGAGAATGAGAGGTTGGGAAAATATTATTTTCTGTGGGGAATTTTAATTTCTGCTAAGGGGAAATGACCAAACGTTATTACATTGACAGCAGTTATAGAAATTTACTGAAGTTTCGGTGTTGTTTACTGCTTCCATCGTCAGGACGATTATTAATCTCTTTGATGATGGAGTCTGTAAATACCTCTGAAACGTCGGTCGGTGTTTACGAGATTACAAGGCACAGCGTCCCAGAAGACAGTAATCAGCCTTGAGAACCTGATGTCTCACATTGACAGCTGTGCGCATCACTGGTTTCTACGTCACACACTTCCAGAAATAGTTTCTTCTGCATGTAAGGAAGACACGCTGAGAGTGACTGTCCTATATCCATCACCACACGTTCGTGACCTTGAACTCCTGATTTTGGTTAATTTGACTTGAGTAAACTCATCCGACGCCTTTCTCGTTATGAAGATGTCCTTAAAGCCAATTCAGTCCAAGATAAGAATACGAAAACTATTTTCGTAATAGATCTGTTATTTTTATATCCTTACATCTCAGTATAGCCACGGTGGTCTAGCGGTCAGAACGCTGGCCTTGTAATCCTGGGGGTCTCGGGTTCGATTCGCGGCGGTGCCCGAATTTATAACTTGTGTTGGGCAAGGCCGTGGTCTAGGCAACACGGAGTTTTCCTCCGGGGGCTTCCCCGGTTTCTCCGTGGCATCCCATTCACACACAGAAGAAGGCAATGGCAAACCACTTCTGGATCATCTGCCAAGAACGTATATGAACAGGTCCCAGTCCGAGAAAAGGATGGAAGGATCCTGTTCATATGGACCTGTCGTCAGACAGAACACTAAATAATAATATAATAATACATCTCAGTATTGTTCTATGAAGTGGCCTGTCTCCATTCAGTTTCCGAACAAGAATTGTGCATGTAATTTGGTTTTATCCAGACAGGTTGCATGATTTGTCCATCTCTACATTTAATTATTGTTTCCTCATACGAGCTACATGCCCAGTCAATCATAACTTCATATTCTAAGAATACTACAGAGTGGTTCAAAAATCCTGTGTAGAAATTTGACTTCTTTTCAAACACTTGTCGTTCTCAGGCTCGCACAGAATTTTGAATTACCCTGAAAGTTTGAATAAAAAATTCCTCTTTTCCATCGTCTACTAAAATAATAAAATATAAAACGACGTTTCGGAGATGGAACTCTATGGAGCTAATCCCTATCTCCGGAGATAGAGATTAGCTCTATCTATTGGGCCCAACAGATTAGGTACCTGAAGACGGAGATAGAGCCCCATCTCCGAAACGTCGTTTTATATTTTATTATTTTAGTAGACGATGGAAAATATCCGAGTAAATTATTATTCAAATAACGTCACGAACTTTTAGATTTGATATACCCTGAAAGTTATCCGTATAAATCATTGAATTACCTTGTTATATAGAATTTAATATTTCATTAAGTCTAAATATTTTCCTGAGAACTCTCTTTTCAGATACTTTCCATCTAAATTCTTTCCCCATAGTTAGCGTGAGACGAATTTTCAGAACTACACAGAAGAATTTGCGAAAGTCAGGAGAGAATTTCTGAATGACAATTTTTTATATCGAAGTGTTGTTCATTAATGACACTTTGTAATGCTTAATTCTGGAGGGCGTCAGAGGGGCGTGGCAATAGATCAGTGACGCAATCACGGCTTTCAATTTAAAATCGCTGACGTCGTTTGATATAAAACAATTTATGGACCCGGCGTTATCAGGGTTAACTGGGGGAATTGAGACGTGTTGGTTGCACAACCCCAGGCCGTTTCTGTGCTGTCACCGGAGGATGAATATTGCGACTTCTTGTCATATGTTCTATCTGCGTCATTAACAGAAAGCTGTTAAGCAACGAACTCTGGACATTGTCCGTCGCCTTAATTTTTATTAAAAAAGTTTCAAAGACAACTCTTGTCTTTGGTCCAGAGATTAGAGACTAGCTCTATCGATTGGGACCGACGTAGTAGGTTTTACCTGAGGACGGAGACAGAGCCCAGTCTCCGAAACGTCGAACTTTTTAACTAAAATCAAGACAATGGGTAATATCCTGAGATTTTGTTATTTTAGAAACACATCATTTCACAAACCTTCAGATTTTGTCTTAGTTAAGTTATTATAAAAAATTGTTTTTGAATTTAATAGGCAATGTTGGTTGGTATTCATTTGCTGTTTTGTGATTTTGGCATTTGTGGTATAATATATAATATATAATATTATTAAAGGAAGCCTACGTATATGTAATTCTATTATAGCCTATCACGTGCGTGTTCTTTACAATACAATACAGTTATTTGTACCTCAATAAATGATCATTCTGAGACTGAATTACATTAAATCGTATCGTATTCATTAATTAAAAACAGGAAATAATATTATTTTCTGTTATAGAACATTACTTAATTTTTTTTTTTGTTAATTTGTTAAAACATTGGACTGAAAAGACTGTTCATTCATCCATGTTTTGATACAAACAGGCTCGTCTATACAACGCAGCAAAACATGTTTACGTTTTAACAGAGTTCGTAATTAAGAAAAAGATTATTAATGATTCTAAATTTATATCCTGCTTTGTTGCACTTTTCAATAAAAATGTGATCTTTAAACACTGCTGTAAATTCTCTCGCCATTTTTGACAGGCAAATGTCTAGTAATACGACGATCCCTTGCCAATAGTAAATTCATTTTTCATTTCTATACAGTTTTGCCGATCGCGGTATCTGGCCCATGTATCCGCGGTTATTAATGAGCATATACACTTGAAATACCTGTTTTCCGCACCAGGTGATCGGGATTTGCTGGGGCAAGGCTGGAAGACTTTTGAAGTCGGTCTTATAACTCCTTCATTCTTATATCTCTTTTCTATTTATGTCATGTATTATTATTAGGTTTTAATGAGAGGATAATCTCAGGAGGGATCTATGGGAGATAGGAGATGAAGGAGACTGGATTTTGTTGGCCCAGGACAGGGCCCAGTGGAGGGCTTTGGGTAATTCGGTGATGAACCTTCGGGTTCCGTAAGCCATCTAGTTGGTTGGGTCCACTATTTGGGAAGCCTGAGGGGAAGAGACCTCTGGGGAGACCTAGACGTCGATGGGAGGATAATCTCAGGCGGGATCTATGGGAGATAGGAGATGAAGGAGACTGGATTTTGTTGGCCCAGGACAGGGCCCAGTGGAGGGCTTTGGGTAATTCGGTGATGAACCTTCGGGTTCCGTAAGCCATCTAGTTGGTTGGGTCCACTATTTGGGAAGCCTGAGGGGAAGAGACCTCTGGGGAGACCTAGACGTCGATGGGAGGATAATCTCAGGCGGGATCTATGGGAGATAGGAGATGAAGGAGACTGGATTTTGTTGGCCCAGGACAGGGCCCAGTGGAGGGCTTTGGGTAATTCGGTGATGAACCTTCGGGTTCCGTAAGCCATCTAGTTGGTTAGTTAGTTAATGTGTAAAGTGGCGCACCACAGCGGCTGTAATGGAAACTTCGTTTTATGCAGGGAAAGGTCTTCACTTAGTTCCAAGAATTAAAATAGATGGCGTTATTATCGATCTTGTAACGTCGACGTATTATAGTATTATAATATATTATATAACCGTGTCTTCCAGATTACCGGTACTTAAGTTTTTATAATGGTGAGGTAGATTAACCCAACAGACACTGACACCCTGTTTTTTTAAGTTGTTGTTTAATATTTTCTCTTAAAAATACGTTTACTGCTAACAAGTCATCTCTTCCCTTAATATTGGAACTAACTTTTTATATACATCTCATTTTTTATTCGTGATATATGTCCGTCATCTCACGGCGTGGTGCTTATTAATATTGGTCGTAGTTTTCGTAACCGAGTAATGGTTGTACATATTTTAATTTTTTTTAGAATTTTAAACTTGACACAGGATAATGCACGATTCTGAACTAAATGAGACTTAGAAACAAATCGTATTTCTACCTGGAATAGAATTCTGGAATTTCAGTCGCAGTCAGACATTTCAATGACAGCTTGACTGACTTACAACTCATGAACATTAAATTAGTAATTATTTTATTAATAAAGGTTGATTTAACAACAACTTTATTATAAGATGGTAAAGTTGCGTCATATTGTGATATAATAAGTATATATTAAATTTTGTCCGTCTAATCACAATAATTCTTATTAAATATTAAAATATTACAATAATTAACATTTAAAATATTAAATGATGTTCTGAGCTATACCTCCACTCACCCCAAACGCCTACATGGCGTATAGTGGGACAAACTTTACTTTACTTTACTTATCGAAATATTCGATTTACATTAGACCATCATTTTTCATGTTTCACGACATTTAATATTTTAAATATTTTAAATGTTAATTATTGTAATATTTTAATATTTAATAAGAATTATTGTGATTAGACGGACAAAA